ACTGAGTTTTCTGGAAAACGTCTTAAGGTAGCTCTAGGACTGGTTGTCTACAAGATGAGCTAAACTTTGAGCAGACAAGGAGAAAATGGGAGCAGTCCATGAATGAAAGGAGGAAGATGGCTTCTTTGAGTGGTCAGAAGATTGAGCAATAAAGTGGAAGTATATTGCAAACAGAATAGAATGCAAGGGTAAAGATTTGAACTTCAGCTCACTTCTAGAAAGTCATGAATGAAGAATGTATAAGACAGATTTGAGTAGCAGGGCCATATATTGCCGGAAGGATTGGAGAAGGGGAGATTTATAGTTGAGAAACTTCCAAGACATATTAAGAAGTCTAGATTAGAAGTGATAAGGTCTTGAATTAACAGAATGAATGTGAGAAGGAAAAAGAAAGGGATAAACCCAAGAAGTATTTTGAAGAGAGAGGAATTGGTAAACTATCTTACATAAGAAACATGAGTTTTTAATAATTCTTTGTGATTTTTAACTCAGAGACTTTGTGTCGACTAGCCTGGGAGGCATGATTAAACAAGGACATTCCTGAAATAATATACTGCATTAATATAATCATCTAGTCACTAGGTGTATACTAGGAGGCTCACTTGATAAAAGTCATAACAAACAAAATAAAATTTCTAGATAGGGATATTTTTGTGTTTCAGTGAAATTAGTAGTAAATGGTAACATAAATGTTACCAGGATGCGCTTCAACTGGTTTGCACAATGTCTAAAGCTCCCAGCATTAGTCACTCACGATGAGTCGACAGGCCTTGTTAAAATGTAAACAGTAATACATGAAGCCATTAGGATCCATTAACACCTTGAACCAATTTAATTGATCAAATTAGCTAACCTGTTCTAAAATGTGAGGAAATGGGATGCAAGCAAGAACAACAAGGAGATTTTTGTGTGTAGGAAGAGAGATTATAAAAGAAGTCAGAAGGAGGCATCCATCATTTGAGGTGTGGGTAGTTTCTTTGTGATGTTGCTTAGTTTGGTGGGTTTGCATTGTGGTTCCTTCTACTTTCTAGAAGAAATACCCCCTTATTTTGTCTTCTGGGGAGGTAATAAGGAATAGGATAAAGAAGACTGGGATGGGGAACAGAAGATCCTATGCCAATTCCACTTCAGGCACTAAATTGCTGTGTGACTTTGCTGAACCCTCCAATTCAACTCTTATTTTTGTAAAATGAGGGTCTTAGACTACATAAGCATTGCCTGCTCTAGCTACTCAATTCTTTCAAATAGTTTACTCACATTTTTATTTTCACAGCGGTTTTTTGTTGGTATTTTTCTTTCAGTATTAGGGAGCTTTAAAAATAAACTCATGCTTTTATCAAGAAAATCACCTGTTTGAGATTCTGAAGCACTGATGTTTCAAAGACATATATTTTCAGATTCTTTTCCAGATTAGCCTGGTATCTTGGTTTATGATGAAAATCTATAGGACCTACATTTGCATAAGACAATATCAGCTTTTCTTGTAATCACATTTCACTTATTACAAAGTCCCAAGATATATGTTCCATTAGTCATCTAACTATATGAGAGATTTTACTTCCAGACTAACCATTACATGCTCACTGAAACTGTAGTAAATTTACAAATAGTTTAGCCTTTAACATACATGTCAAAATGCAGAAAGATTAAATTGATAAATCTCTTCCTATTTCTTCCTTTTCATTTTTGTGTCTTATAAGCAACTGTCAAGCCTCTGGATTTCATAAAATTACCATCCTGTTATCAAAAATAAAGTTACATTTCTGATACCCTTAGCTTTTCTTCTATAGAGAATTACTTATAGGAATACTATTTAGGATATCAAATATACTTTCAGCTAAGACGAAGCTGCAGTAAATGCTGGGAGAAGGTGGAACTGGGTATGTTTGGGAGAATGTGACATGCCAGATCTGATGTCTGGAAATATTCATTTTGAAAAATACATCTTAACTTTTAAATAGCTGTATATTGGTAGAGCTTTATTCACTAGCATTATTTTGTAAAGAGGGAAGGAAGGAAGGAAGGGAGGAAGAAAAATATATGGGTCAGGATTCTCGGTTGAAGATATGAAGATGACAGGGTAACACTACCTATATTAATCAGAAAGAGAGTTATCAAAGATATAGACAACTCAAAAATTGTTGTGATTGTAGAGAAAAAAGATAGCAGGAGGAGTTCTATGAGTCATTCTTTGGATCACCCCAGGACCTGGTTTGGAAACTAAATCAGGAAGTGACTCCACAGTCACTGACCTCAGAACCACGAGGCCAGGCCGCTGTTGTGAGGTATTCTAAAAGGACAAATGCTCTGTACTTGCCCTTGATTCCTACAAAACTCATTTCCAAAGCAAAATTTTATATAAGGAAGGCTGAAAATACAGTTTTTGCTTTATTATTATTATATTGGAAATGTATGTTTTACAATGTGGAAAACTAGCAAAATGAGCAAAGACTGCTCAAAACAAATTGAAGGAAACACAAACAAAAGAAGTCTAGTGTGGAATATGTTTAGCAACCAAAAAACTCAAATGTTTAAGCATTTATTCCAGAAGGAGACAGCAGTCTGAAAGGGAGCAGACTTAAGCAAGCACGCTTGTTCAAAACTTTCAGCAAACCTACTTAGAATTTTGATTCTTCAAGCTTTCTCTTTCTCCTTAGTTGTTTAAAAATCCTTTAAAAATGAGAATTTTTAATTCCTTAATATTCTTCCCATTTGAATAAAATGAAAAATTACTTCTGAGATGGTAAGTCAGCCTTGCCTTAGCACCATTTTATCATACTTTCTTTTCTTGATTATTTATATAGAAAAGTTTGGAGATGGTACAATTCTTTGTCACCCTCCGCCACTCGGCAAGTATTAATTTTTGATAGTCTACTTCCTCAAGCTGGAAATGGGTGATCTTTCATACCAAAAGAATAATTCTTACCAACATATTACTGAAAATTATTTACTTGATATAATTTTTATTTGAATAACACAACCAAAACAAAAATAAAACTCAAAGTTCTTCAATTTCCAGGAAAAAAAGCACATATCTAAGAAATGAAAAAGAAAAATAGTTTCCCTTTAAGTTGATGCTTGGTGTCTTCAGTATTCTTGATGAATTATACAAGAGGATTGGCATCAAAATACTGCGATTATTTGATGCTTTTATAATAAAACTTTGAACCAGAATGACTATCCAAGTCATTAAAAATTATTTTTGTTCCCTAAAATAACGAGGAGTGAAATATGCTCCCTATAGCAGAAAGTGGCATATTCTCTTCTTTGATGTAAAACTAGACCACATTTCCTAGTCCCCTTGAGTTTAGATGGAACCAGGTGACAAGTTCTCTCCAATAGACCATGAGCAGAAGTTCGGATTGAAGCAGTGAAGAAGTGAAGTGAGTCTGCTTTCTTTACGCTGTCTTTTTTGTCTACTTCCTGGATGTGAAGACTGCGCTAGTGGCCCTAAAAATGGCAAAGTTATTAAGATGGAAAAAGCCTGAATCTCTGAAAGACTGCGTGGAGTAGAGTAGCTGCTGACTCAGATTGGATTGTGAAATGAGCAAAATACACATTGTTATTATTTTAAGTCAATGGGATTTTTAGGATTGTTTTCAAAGCTGTTAACCTCCCCTGACTGATGTACATCTCTGAACGCAGTGTGCTTTGGGAGAAAGTGGTTAATATAAAAATTTGGTCTATCTATTGTTGAAATAAATTTCTTGGCCCGGGGTGCCACATCAGCAAAGTGAAACTTAGATAACTTTTATGTCCCTGCAAATGCTCCACTTGACCAGAAATGCAGTATATTCAGTCAGCCAACCCCTAATGCCAAGCCAACTCTGGGCTCTGTGCTTGTTTCCTTGTTCCTTTCTCACCCCAAATAAGGTTGATTATGTGGCCCCAGCCACTCAGATGTTTTCTATTTTTCTCTTCCTTGTTCTTTATCCTATAAAAGTTTCTTGCCTTCCGCTTCATTTTGCAGTTCTCTGCATGGAGACTGTCCACTTCATGAAATGTTAAAGTTTGTTTATATCATCTAAATTGTCTTCTTTGATCTTTTTAAACATTATTAAAATTTCCATAATTCATGTATGTGTGACAGTATACTGCAAATTCTGAAGCATTTTGCAATTTTAATATATTACTGTTATCAACAACATTAATAAAAACAGTAAGAGTTAAACAGAATCCAATATTTCAATTGTGTATTTTGGAATAGGAGTCGAGAAAGGGAATAAATAGACAATGAAAAAATCCCCTTAAATCTGAATTTTCTGAGAAGTAGTCCATGTTGCAGGATCATGGGAGTCTGGCTTTCAACTATTCTAATAGCTACATTTATTAAAAAAAAAATGTAGATTTATAAGAAAATGTGAAACACAAGACAAAGACAATTTAAAAGATGTAACAAACCTGAATCTTGATCTTTCATTGTTTCTGTTTCTTTTATCTTAACACACTTGTATTTAATTTGGCTTGGCTATTTTAAAGATTGTATTACTCTGGTCAGAAGCAGTGTTTTAGAACTCGGCTGGGTCACAGGAACTTTCTCGCCACTCCATTCTAATCTGCAGTTTTGCTATAATAAAAGCCCTAAATATATTGCTACTGTCTAGACATTTTATCTGAAACAAGCGTCCTTTGTAGTCTCAAAGGACTTTTCTATTTTATTTCCAGTAAATCAAAGTCTGTGAAGAGCTTCAGTTCTTATTAAGACATACCCTTCACAGTCCAGTGATTGCCAACAGTGGCAAGCCATTGACAGTTCATTTACATATAAGTGATGACTTCCATCAGGTAGTTGGCTCAAAAACACAATGGACATTTAGAGCATATCCAATATTTCTTTTCTTTGATGAGCACCAAGTGCCAATTTTTACATAGAAACTGACTATTGAAAGTGAAGGCTTCTTTTCCCTGACCTTACCCTGTCTTCTACAGCTCTGGAGTGACATATTGTCACTGAACTTAATGTAAGATCACACCTTTGAAAGACACTAAGTAGCCCTACTTCAGTTTACTAAAAATCAAGAATAGCCAAGTGTAGGAAACATGAGAAAAGAATAACCACATTTTATTAAAGGAAAAATAAACTTCTGTATCCTGCCCCCAGTTTCATAATCATAACCTAATTTTTATATTTTATTTTTTAAAAGGTAATTTTGATATTGTTTTATAATGTTTTCTATTATAAATATACTTTCCACTTGAAATAGTGGCACTCATTACACAACCCTCATTAGGAAATCCTATATTTTAGTTTATAATCACCTTTCATTATAACTCTATGCTTTTGCTCCCAATTTTGGGGAATAGTGGTGGCAGAACTCTCACCAAATTTTTATCCTAACAATGTTATAAAATGGAGCAGGCTGCTGATGTTTTACCAAGCTGGGACTCAACTCATGTGTGACTTTTTTCTTCTTCTTTTTAACTATGCATTTTACAGCTTTTTGAAGCAATTAAATAAGGAAAAATGCTTCTCTAATTTCTACTCTAATAACTTCCACATGTATTCTACAGTAAACTCCACTGCACGAAGTAGCCTGAGAGAGATTTCTTTTTCAAACCAAAGAGTCAATTACAGAAATAATAGATCAGGGATAAGAACTGAAAATATCGAGACTTGTCATGTGGCTTCCACCTCTATTCATCTTTAGTCTCTGTGCTAAGCACAGCACTTCAACTATTGCTCCTTCACTTGTTTCTCCAACCCCTGTTTAGGGGGGGGAGGGAGGTAACTCGGGAATAGTTTATTGACTCTCAGTTTTTCACTTCAGAACGAGCAATGAGAATATGGGAAAATAATACTATGACTACACTAATAAAAATCATATAGTTTAAAAGATGTTTTGAGAAACTATTTCCAAAAAACTTGTCAGTTTTTAGAAATAAGGATCTTAAAGTTTTTCTATGGCATTTATTGGTAATAGAACAAAACAAATTTAAGTCCAGTGAAGGGCATAGTTGACACTATGTGGTTTCAACTTCATTATGATAAAACAGATATTTTTTACCAAAAAAGATCCAATGAATGGCTCATCCAAAGATATTTCAAAATTATAGACTAACTTGTCAAAGTCCTTCTTTGGATAGGGAAAGACGCTTATCCTTTTATCCAGTTGATACAGAATTAATCCATGACCAATGTTAACCTCTTTGGGTAGACAGCTTCAACTCTTAAGGTAACAATATTGAATTGAAAACATTATTCTACTTCTCACGATAAATAATGTTGTCTCATTTTCCTTTCTCTTATAGATCTGGACACTATCTTCCCAACAATCCGGATGTTAGCTCTTTTGAGTATTGGGTGTCCACTCACTGTAAAACAAAATATATAATTATATTAATAAATTTTCAATTACTGTGACAGAATGTATCATGCTTCTGAAATCACAAAATATTACAGGCAATCTATTATGGTTGTACTAGAACATACAAAAGATTGGACTTGGGCACATTTCCTTCAGGTGTATTGTATTATATTATATAGCATGCCAAGAAACTCAGCAAGAGTTACTGTTGGACCAAAGAGGTGAGAGAAGGGATGGCAGAACCTGGATTTCACCAATATAGTGCATACTTGAAATAAATTAGATGTAAAATATATTGACCATAAGATAAATATTGAAATTTTTTGCATTACAATATAATCAATTCTGATACTGATGTTCAAATAGATATAAACCACTATTTCTATAGATTTCTTGTACTTGATCCATCTTTATGCATAAAATGACTTGTCAAATATGAAATAAAAGCCATAAATTTACCGTGGCCACCATTATACATAATGTTAATATATAGAAAGAGTAGCATATTTTTTGCCTTTTAAGACATTATTATTATTCTACAAAAACATAACCAACTACCAAAAAATAGTTGAAATTGGGGCCGGCCTGGTGGTATAGTGGTTAAGTTTGTGTGCTCTGCTTCAGTGGCCTGGGGTTCACAGGTTCTGATCACAGGCACAGACATAGCACTGCTCATCAAGCCATGCTGTGGCAGCATCCCACATAAAATAGAGGAAGATTGGCACAGATCTTAGCTCAGTGACAATCTTCCCCAAGCAAAAGGAGGAGGATTGGCAACAGATGTTAGCTTAGGGCCAATCTTCCTCACACACACACACACACACACACACACACACACAAAATAGTTAAAGTTATGAGAAGAACAATCCATATTACTAAAAGAGAATGAATGATTTCTATTGTAAAAGAAGAAGCAAGGCATTGTTGCTGTTTTTATGTTTATCTATATTGTCATTAGACAGAGAGTAAGGCTTATAATAACAAAACTAAATTAGACTACATTCAGAGTATTTATAAAATAATTAATAATAGTAATTATCATTGCAAGTGAGATCATAAGGAAAGGCAATAACCAATTGGTATCCTAATCTAAACAAAATATGCATGTTGGTTCTGAAGATGAGATCTCAAGATAAAATTATTTCCTACTAAGAATTTTTTGATAATATGCAATATCAACTATACATTTCTTCAGACAGAAGATAGTTGAAATGCAGGATTACTCAAAGTAGGTAAAATAGAAGGAAAAGTGAATGTAATGATCCAAGCTCTTGTTCTTACACATTTGTGAGTGAATCTGGATTTAATACTCAATCTTAGTTTCCCGATTTTTGAAATGGAGATAATATCTATCTTATCTGGTTGTTGAAAGGATCCAAAAAACATATATCAAAAGATATATGTGTAATAACGATGTGTTAATATTGCCTCATCAATTATAACAAATATCTGACACTAGTGTAAGGTGTTAATAGTAGAGAATGGGAGGAGGGGGCTGCAGGTGAGGAGGTATGTGGGAACATTCTGCACCTTTCACCAACATTTCTGTAAACCTAAAACTCCTAAAAAAAACCCCAAATAAACAAAGTTTATTAGTTAAAAAGAAATATATCTGATACTTCATAAATATTCAAAATGTAGTTGCTGTATTATTATTATTATTTACACTATGACATTATATGTAGGCTTTATAAAGAAATGTCACTAACAATTGTGTGAGATAGAAAATACACATATTGGTCTCTGCCTCCAGTTCCTGGCATAGAGCTCCTAAAACCCTTGTAATTTCCTAAGTGATAGGAGCACTTGTCTAAGCTCTTGTTGTAATGTTTGGTCTTTGACCCCATCGCTGACACAGGTCTCCTGAAACCCTTGTAAGTTCCTAAGTGATAAGAGCACTAGGAGCATCTTTTGTTCTAATGAAGATGATGAGATCTGGATGGCTCCTGGATGAGGGCTGGTCACCAGAAACACTAAGCCATAGTTAGAAGCTTGGAACTTTCAGCTTCACTTCTCTAGAGAAGGGAGAGGGCCTAGAGATAGAGTTCAAAGTCATCATGCCTAATTGAGGAAGCCTCCATAAAAATCACAATAGTACAGGGTTTGGAGAGCTTCCAGGTGGATGAACACATCCATGTACTGGAAAGGTGACACACCCCAACTCCACAGAGACAGAAGCTCCTGTGTTCAAGATCCTCCCAGACCTCACCTTATGTATCTCTTCATCTGGCTGTTCATCTGTATCCTTTATCACATCCTTTAATAAACTGGTAAACGTAAGTAAGGGTTTCCTGAGTTCTGTGAGCTGCTCTAGCAAATTAATCGAACCTGAGGAGGGCGTCATGGAAACCTCCGATTTGTAGCCAAGTTGGACAGAAGCTGTGAGTAACTTGATCACCTACTACTTGTGATTGGCAGCTGAAGTGGAGGGCAGTCTCCTGGGATTGAGCCCTTAACCCGTGGGATCTGATGCCATCTCCGAGTAGAAAGTATCAGAATTGAGTTAAATTGTAGGACACCCAACTGGTGTCTGAGAATTGCTTGTTGGTAGGTGGGGAAAAACCCCACACACTGGAATTGGTGACCAGAATCTTAGTTGGTGATCAGAAGTGAGACTGAGAGCAGAATCCTATATTGTATAATCTGCTATTTCAGAAATATTGCAATTAAATAATGGATCATTTAATTTTAGGAAGAATAAAAATGTAAGTATACATAGTAAATTTTTAATCTTTTAAAGTAAATATTCTTGACCTTCATTTTTGTCATATGACAGAACAGATTCAGAAGACAATCCTTTTTATTAGAACAAGTCAATCTTGAATAAAATATTAAATGTATTTTAACCTCACTCCAAGCTGGCAGAGAAGCAAGAAAATGCAGAAGCCAAAACAAAGTAAAATCAGTAATATTGGTGGATATTTGAATGCCAAAGCCAATTGTTTTGGTCTGATTTTCTGCTGGGCCCCGTATATCTGAACTTCAGCCTTGTGAGGGGAATGGGGACAGGAGGTAAAGCACAGGGTCCACCCAAAATGGGGACTTCAGCATGAGACCACAGTTGAGGGCTGGGGCCCCAGAGGGCTGTACCCTCAGAGAAGGTGCAATGATGTAAAAAACAAAAGAGAAAGAAGAGAAGAGAAGAGAAGAGAAGAGAAGAGAGAAATGTCCAAGAAAGGGACAGCAAGGAAACTTTCCTGTTTCCAAGAGGCTGGGTGGATAAAGCAGTGCCCCAAAGCTGGCTTTTGGTTTGGTGTTCCAGTTCATGTCATCTGTGTGGTACAAAATATCTCAAATATATTTAGAGTTTGTTGGACCCCAAGAACAATGGAAAAACCTCTCTAGAGGAAAGCAACTTCCACCAAGACCTTTAACACACGTCATAGAATCATACTTTATTAAACCCCTACATTTTAGAATGCAGTTGTAAATGGCAAAGCGGGTTATAAAGCAGTATCTATAATACAGTTTTTTTAAAGTTATATGCATAGAAAAACAAGCACAGTATTAAATGCCAAAATATTAATAGTTTGTGGAATTATAATTTAGCTTTAGTTCTTTTTGCTTAACCATATTTTCAACAGAAGATATTATTCATGTAAAAATAACAACATTAGAGATTTTCAAGTTTCTAGATTGGACTGTATGGCAGAAAGTCACCTTTATTGTAGATAATGAATACATAATCAGAAGGTAGATATTTTTGTTTATACTTCAATAATCTGAAGAGATTATTTCAATTGGGAAAACAGTTAAATAAAATAGATAATATGTTTAATATGCACTTTATAACCTGTGTTTTCAGAAAAAGGATACTAAATTTTTCTCAAAGGTTCAAAGTATGTTTTTAACCTTTGTTTTCTTTTAAATCATCTCCAGATTTTCACGTTCACAAGTCTATTTTATGATTTTTCATGCAATTTCTCTGACCTCCTCAAGGATATGTATTATTCTACATGTTGGCTACTTCTTGTGAATGCTTCAAAATGAATCTTTTTAGAGCAGCTACGAAGGAAAATGAACATGGATTGTGTAAAAAATAAAGCACTTTTAGGTCCTTGGGTATCTACGGAGTCCTATTTGTTCAGGTTCACGGTAAGTGCTATGGGTGATGGAAGGGGCACTGGCTGAGACCTTTCTCAGTGTCCATCTCCTAATCCACAAGCCAGAAAAAGCAAAAGCTTGCAATTATTATGTTACTCATAGAAATTTAGTTAAAAAAAATGAAAGCACCTCCTTAACACAGTATCATGGCCCTGCCCACCAGAAGATTATCAGTCAGTATAAAGCAAAAATATACTCCTGGATCACAAACAATTAAGGACATATTTAAGTAGTTACACCTGATGCTAGTCTATAGCAGGGATCCAAGTCTGAACCTACATTTCGTTCACCCTAGGGTTTTAAACAGGGGTATGTCCAGAACACTGGCACAACAAATCCTCTAGGGACCGCTTGCAAAGAAAGACCAAGAAATCTTCTCGGAGAAAAACTCTTAATATGAGAAGAATTTGCTGAGTATTTTCATCTTGGTCCAATAAGACAGTGGCAGTTGGCAGGGACGGGGTGATTTTATGTACTCTGAGCTGCCTCTTGCTAAGATGATTTTGCTTTGACCCTCCACTCTCTTGTTTGCCACTGTCCCACCCCACCATGGAGACTCTGGCCTATAACTTCAGAAGAGGAAGGTCCCAGTGAGAAAACAATGGAGCTGAAAAAGCTGTTTTCCTACACCATGCCCTCGGGATGCTGAGAGCACAGGGTGTCAGCACTCTGAGATTGAGGCAACTGTGGTACAAAGGTCAGGAGAGGGGCTTTTCCACTCAGCAGGTTGACTTAGGCCAGTTTGGAATCAGCCCAGGATGCCTGGACTGGTGCTGGTGGCAGCAGCAGCAGCAGCAGTAAGACACCTTCACCAGGCTTCCTGTGCTTCAGAGTGACAGTAGCAGATAGCACTGCAAAGGGCTGGGGGTGGGCAGGGAAATAGGGAATTCTATGTTGCAGCAT